GTGATATTTGCATTATTTACAACAGTGAAAAAAAAAAATCTTTTATCTTTGCACTCAATAAATACGTGTAACATAGATATATAAACAATTTGACTTCATTGAGAATCATTCCTATACTTGATGTTTTCCGCTGCAGGCCCGTCAATATTAATATTAATATGCATCCGTAAACTTCCAAGTCCTGCATATTCTAATAACACTATATAAAACCATGCATGTGAAAAAGATGGAATACAAAAAGTTCTCGAGCTGAAACTTTTTTGCCAATTAAATAAAATCAAGTGTCCACTGCCACTTGGCGCGTGCATAAACCATTATAAATAGAATATACATTTTCCATTTAAAGGAATTCAAGTTAGAGAGGTCACGTAAAAAGCGGAAATGGTGAAGAATTTACTGGGAAAAGCAACATTTTTTTATATTGGGGTTATCAATTTAAATGCCAAAACCGGCTGCCAAAAATCCATTCAAGATTATATGGCTGAAAAAGGTTACTATTGCGCGGTGTTATCTACATTATTGATAAGATACCTAAAAGTGCTTCCGGCAAAATTTTGAGAATTTAGATTTTTGATATTTTTATTTATTATATTTTTTATTATTTTGATATTTTATTATTTTTTATTTTGATATTTTTATTATTTTGATATTTTTTATATTACTGTAAGTAATAAAATAAATATATTGCATATATTACACATGAAAGTTATATTATGCTAAAAATAAATCTTTGCACTCAACCTAATTTTGGCTTTGGGTGGCCCAGAGAGTTACTTCTGTTGAAAAGGCCCCCAAATGTTTATCTCAAACAAGGCTGGCCGCGTAACTCGAATGAGCACTTGGCTAAAATATATGTTAATTCAAGGCAATTATTAATTTATATATAATAGTTATAGTTATACATGAAGTCAAATTAAACCCCAAAGTCGAAATGTTTCGACTTGAGGTAACTACATAGTAAAAATCAGTTCCGACCCTATTTCGACCAGATCTGCAAATGATCGAAATAGCTTCGACTTCATGTATAGTTATAGTACTTGTATTTTAATAATTTTAATAATTTTAATTGGTGTAGTAATCTTCTGATATTAATTCTTTGTTGTAGTATTCTAATTGTCAAAATTATAATAATGATATTAATTCTTTGTTGTAGGATTCTAATTGTTAAAATTATAATAATGATATTAATATTGATATTAAAATTAATAATATTATTATTATAATAGTAATACTAAATAACAGATAATTTAACAGTTATATTGATAATTACCATTAAAATTGCCAATTATTGTGACATTATTGTGATTAACAGGTTTTGGAAGGTCTTTTGGAAGTTCTAAAAATCTACTGGTATAAATAGCATTTTTGTGGTGAACACTTGGTGTAAGTGTTGAAGGGTCAAATTTTATTTTATCCATTTCATCAATTTGTCTTCTCCTTGATCTTATTTCATTAACCTGGACTTGTGAAAAATGATCATGTTTTTCAGCAGAAATTACATAATTATTAAATGAATGTTTCCAAGAATCTAAAACATCCCCAATTTCCTTTATAGTTGGTCGTTTTTTCGGATTAGCATCCATGCAATTGTATGCTAATCTTATGAAAAAATCGGGGGTGTTGTTTGAAAATCTTGGCCTTAACCCCTGACAAACCCGAGTCGCAAGGGTTCCATCGTGTGAGATATCACTGAATGGTTGCTGACCTGTTGATATCACTGACATCAACACCCCAAAACTATAGATGTCAGATGCCATTGTATGCGTTTCACCTCTTAGAACTTCAGGTGCAATATATGGCATTACCCCGTATATATTATTTGTATTTGATGATGATGACGATGTTGATATTGGTTTGACTAGAGTTGTCAACATTAAATCTGTAATATGTGTAGGCATAAATTGTTGTTTTTTTTTGTGAAAGATGTTGCCACTGTGAAGATTACAGTGAATGAGATTTTGTTGATGGATTTTTTGTAAAGAACCTTTAATATAATTAAGAATTTTTATTTTTTCCAACCATGGTATTTTTTTAAAATCAACAGATAAATAATCATAAAGATTTCCGTCGCGTTTATACTCCATTATTATTATAAGTTCTTTTTTAAATGGATCAATTGTTAATCCATATATTTGATTAAATTTTTTATAATTTTTGAGCTATAACATTTATACATGTATATATTCGTTTTAGCAATATATTTTTGTAAAAACAAAAATCTCAAGAAAATAAATAAGACAAAGTAACTTGCCTGATTTAAAACTTCCTTGGAAATCTTTTGAGAGCCATGTAATTGTTTTAATGCAACAGTACAATCTTTATTGTGCCTTATGTCGTTCTTAGGATGTATATAATTTTCACCCTTTATCCAAGTAGCTTTGTATATGGTTGTAAAACCCCCTTCGCCTATCTTTTCAATATATTTTAATTGTTCATGAGGAATTTGTAAATCATTAATATCACATCTTTTTGCTTCTTCAAGTTGTATGCTTTTCTCGTTACCACAAGCTGGTTCTTTACAAGAATTCGGCGGATCAAAAATTCTTTTAATTAATTCTATCAATCTTGAAGAAACAAAACCAATATACGTCAAAAACATTTTTTTTTTAAAAAAAAAACCCCAAATGATATCGGCTCATATATATATAGAAAAAAAAGAAAATATTAAAACTTGGTGAAACGTGAACGCTAGTTATTATTTATTCCGCTTTATTTACGTTACATTTTTTTCTATTACTATTTAGATTTTTATTTTTTATTTTCCGCGTGAAAATAATATATATTTATTATTATTAATATTAATTTATTATTATAATAAAGCTGTTATCGGATAAGAAATTGTATTAATTTATATAAACAAATTATAAATTTAATAAATAAATATTTAATGTTTTTTTATAATCTTAATTTAGCAATTCATCCGTATCTCACGTATCTAAATGTACTTGTGAGAATTTATAAATATAAAAAGGTACTTATAAATATAAAGAGATATTATATAAAGATAATTGTTAAAACTGATATTTTATTACAATATCATGTTTAAAATTGATAATGATGGAATTACCATTTGTATTACTAATTCTACCCTTCTTAACAGGTTCATGTAAGGTCTCCTGGAAGTTCTAAAAGTCTGCTAGTATAAACAGCATTTGGGTGAACAATTTTTGAAGGGTCAAATTCCATTCTATCCATTTCATCAATTTCTCTTCTCCTTGATTTTATTTCATCAATCTGATCTTGTGTATAATAATCATGGTTTTCAGCAGAAATTACAAAATCATTAAATGAGAGTTTCCAAGAAACCAAAATCTCTGCAATTTTTTCTGCAGTTGGTCGTTTTTCTGGATCACTGTCCATGCAACTGCATGCTAACTCTTTGTAAAAACTAGGTGTGTTACTGGAAAATCTTGGCCTTAACCCATGAAAAATCTCAAGCATAAGACTTATTCCATGTGAGACATTACTGAATGGTCGCTGACCTGTTGATATTTCTGCCATCAACACCCCAAAACTATAGATGTCTGATGCCATTGTATATGGCCTTCGATTCATAACTTCAGGCGCAATATAAGGTATCACCCCAAACATATTACTATTTGATGATTTTTGATCAACTGGACATGATAACCCTAAGTCTGCAATGAATGTAGTAATAAAATGACATTGTTTTTGGTGAAGAATATTACCACTGTGAAGATCGCGATGAACGATGTTTTTTGCATGAATTGTTTTTAACCCTTTGATAATACTCTCAAGAATCTTTATTTTATCTTTCCACCTTAAAATTCTAAATTCTCTTGATAAATAGTCACGAAGGCTTCCTTCTTCTTTATAATCCATTACAAATATATATTGCATTGTATGTGGATCTCTTGTTATTCCATAAATATGAATTATACATTTTTCTTGATGAAATATAACATAATTTTTAAACTAGAAAATAAAGTAAAATCATTTTAATAATTAATTTGGTTAGTAAATTTTTTAAAAAAAAATGACTTTACCTCTTTTAGAAATTCTTTCGAAATTTCTGGAGAATGGAATCTTTTTAATGCAACAATCATGTCGTTTGCACATCGTTTTTTATTTTCGTCTATGGATTTTCTACCATTTTTCCAAGTAGCTTTGTATATAATTGCATTGCCGCCACTACCTATAATTACACTGTTTATCAAATCCTTATAAGAAATCCATTCAAGATAATTATAATTATTGTATCCCTTTGCTTTGAGTTGTGTGCTCTTTATTATTTCGTCTATCGCTTCATTATCGCTAGTCCATCCTTCAGTTAATAGAATCGGGTCACATCTTTGGCACCATTCATAATTAGCATAACATCCCATACACCTTTGGCATGTGCCATATTTTGCTTCATCCTTTACTTCTGATTGTCTGTCAAAATTTGCTTCATTAGAGTCATCAAAGCTGTAAGAGCCGCTATGATATCTGTGTCTATTCGAATTGCCTTCCATATGTTTTAAGAATTTTTTTTCTCCTGAGTTTAAACAAATTTTTAAAATCGGAAAAAATTTTTATTAATATTTTACAAAATGAAATTGACAAGTTTAGATAGATATATATAAACAAGAATATTAAAATGTCGTCTTACAAACATTTTGTAAAAAGAATTGATAAACTTATTATACGCAAATAATTTTCAATAATGTGACTTTTTCGCAAACAATAATAATAAATCTTAATATTAATATATATAAATAAATCCAATTGCTTTTCAATTCTGTCCGTACTGATACACTATTACTATTCTTTTTTGTTTATACAGAATTTGTGATGGGCGTTGAGTACTTAATATGTACAAAAATTTAGTACAGAGGCGCAGATGTACAGAACCTGTATATACTCGAATAAATCTTGATTGTGTTTATTTCACATATTCCTTTAAAATATTTACAATATTAATTAACTCCACTAATTAATTTTAAAAAAATATAATATAATATAATCATTAATTGTTGTTTATATTAACTGCTTTCTCACTATTTTTGTTTAATCTTTTGTGTTTTAGTCTCTTTCTTTTTCCAATATGGTATACCAAATTGCCAAATTGCATAAATCACTAATGAACTTATTAAAATTGTCCAAAATATTATTACACTCGTTGGAGCTGGATTTGGGAATTCGCCTCTACCAAATTTAAAACATATGACTGATTCTGTCATTATATTTGCTATAGTCAACCATGCTTGTGGACCAAGTCTTTTACAATCTCTAAAGTGTTCGTATGGGAAATAAAATAAAATAAAATGTTTGAGTAAAATTTCAAAAGAAACTCAATAAAAAAATCTCATTTACTTGTCTGTTAAATATTGATAAGCTTCTCTTGTACCAGGAATTGCACAAAAAAAAAGTAATATAAATCTATATGCATTTAATGGATGTTCTGGTGGTATCCATAATAAATATTTCAAATAGAAAGCGTTCAAATCAGTTTGTAAAAACTAATTTGAAAATTTTAAATTAAATTAATAAATTATAAAAATTAAATGTCATTTTGAAAATAAAAAGAGAAGCTCATTAGATATACCAAAAATAAAAGTCCAATGACGGCTAAATAATTTTTAAAACTTTTTGTTGTTCCCCATTCGAATTTTGTCCAATGATGCGGTGTGAACTGTTGGACTGTACGTTTCATTTTCCCTTTTAATGACGGAATTTGTTTAATACCTCTCCACGAATAACCCTTCATCTCAAAATATTCACATGTTTTCATTCCAAGATATAAACCAGCCCAATTGCATATTATAACATCCAAAATCCACTTTAATAAATTAAAGTTGTAATGTAAGAATAAATTTATATATATAATATCCTAGAAGCGTATGATAATCTCATATATGCTATGGCATATATAAAAATAATATGTAACTTACATGATCCCACCAACATTCTGCAAAATTATTTAATTGATGTTGTAACGAATATTCCATCACCTCAAACATAACGGACAATATCCAACAAAACCAATAATCACGAAGCACCAATGCCTTGGCAAACCATCCAGATGCATGATAAACAACGAAAATATCCATCTGATCCTAATAAATCAACAAAACAAAAAATATGTGAATTTTATTAATTTAAGATCTTATGATTATTAAACCCATCGAACATATATATTTACTTTGATATTTTCAATTGTTAATTCACAGTTGTCAGCATATGAACGTTCAGGAAGTGGTCTGCCTAAAGATGGATCTATTGTTGCAAAAATGTATCTCGCGTCACGTTTATTCTATTAATATTATGATATATAAATTTTGGATTATTTAGCTAATAACGATAAATTATTAAAAATAAAATTGAAAATAATTAATTACTTGGAATAGAAGAAACACTAAAAACATTTGATATAAAACTCCTAAACCCAATACAATTCTCCATATTACTGGATGTGGTCTAATGAATGGCCCATCTCTAAATTGTAGCATTGCAAAAAGCAAAAAAAATCCAACTCCCGCCATGGCTCCACTATTATAAAAGCACAAATATGAATATTAACTACTTAATATTTATAAGTAAATTTTTTAACATACAATTTAATATTAATTGAGGTATCAATCATTTCTGGTTTCATAGCAACATAAAGTAGTCCAATCAACATTGCTGACAGTACTGATAAAGTTCTTGGACGATCTATGAGCATAACATATTTATAAAATCAATAAGTTTGGGATAACATTCTTAAAAAAAAAGAAGATTTCTTATGAAGCATACAAAAGAATTCAACCGTAGGATCATTTTCTGTATATGCAGCTGGTTGAACTGGTATAGATCTAGCATCAAAAGGATCTATTATTGCTTCTTTATTATTTATAATACTACCACTAACAATGCTGCTACGACGACTACTGTTGCTGCTGTTGCTATTACTACTATTGTTGCTAATGGTAGACTGCAGTGTTGGGTCCATGAAAGATGCCATAATTTTGAATTTTTTTTTTAAATTGAAAAAAAATTTATTATTTATGTGTCAAGCATGATATACACATGTACGATGTAACATTGACGTAATAGCACTGACCATCTTAATATTAATAGTAAACTAACCCAAATTAACAATATATAATAATAAAATATTTCTAATTTAATTTATAAAAACAATATGGAATCTTTTATTTCTTCCCCTTTTTTTAATAATGTTATTAAAAAATTTCCAGCTATTTCTAGTTTTCCCACACCATTTCAACATTTGAATGTTAATTACTTTTTACCATTAGCTTTTACAGGATTTGCTTTAATTTTGACTAGTTTACTGTTCAATATTTATAAAAAAATTGAAAAGGGCAAGTTTCAAGACAATAACAAAATTATGAAGTTTCCTATTTTTTTTTTTTTTTTGTTATTATTATAAATAAATATATTTATCCTAAATATCATAATCATTATTACAACTGCCATTATCATCAATTCAAAATGGTCTTATAGATGATAATGAACCATCTAACATCATTCAGAAGCATACGCAATTTGTAAACATCAGGAATAAACGAATTCGGATCGTTCACATTATACATGAACTTGGTGCAAAAGTGCCATTAATTTTATTTATTCACGGATTAGGTGGCCAGGTTGCTTATTCTCGCTGATTATAATATACGATTAACAATTGATCATAATGATTTACCACTTAATTACCCTTCTTTGTTCTTTTATTATTGTATTCTATAAAAAAAAGGCAGCACAATGGGAATATCAAATTGAATATTTCTCATCGACTGCAAATGTTTTAGCTATTGATTTGGTTGGATGTGGGAAAAGTGAAGTATCAAGAAGGTAAAAAAAGATATATACTCGTAATAATAAATATTTTATACATCATTTATAACATTATTAATAATAATAATGACAATACTAAAGGCTAGAAGATTATACTACGGAATCATTAGTGGAAGATCTAATAGAATTACTAAGACGTTATCCAAGTGATAATACGGTATTGATTTGTCATTCTTATGGTTGTTGCTTGGGTACTTTTTTGTACCAACGTGTAAAACAATCTATAAAAGCTTTGACACTTATTTCGGTAAAAGCTCAAATAACCGAAAAAGATCTGGAACGACAGCGAAGAATTCAATCAATACCTGATATTATATTTAATATTTTACGTATATTGGATCGTCGAGGTGGGACTCATTCTACAAGTGTTAATCGCATGCTAAGCAAAACTGCAAATGATATGATTAGATCAAAGCAACTTCTATGGAATAAACAATCAAAAACTCAAGTTTATAAATTTATGTTAAAGGGAGCGAAATGGTTTACCAGAGAAAATATAGATGCTATCGAATGTCCTTTATTACTCATTTCTGGTCAAGCGGTTAGTTACAATCTAATAAATAAATTTTGTAATGGTTATCAAACTTATTTAACTTTTTTTTCAAGGATGAAGTTACACCACCTAGCGAAATGGCACTTATACATGAATGGAATAATAAAGTAGGCGCATCACCACAGCCTGTTATCATTCAAGAATCAGGTCATGTTCCAATGTTGGAAAAACCGGAATTGTTAAATCGTATAATTAATCAGTTCCTTATAAATGAATGCAGACTTGCAACATTGGATCCAGCATGGCAAATAATCTACGAAACCAAAGACGAAAATAAATGGTCAATGAAAAATTATGAAAAGGTTTGATATCACATCATCATCATTCATCTTGTTGTTATGATATATATTTAAAAATTATATATATTTAGTGGAAACAAACACCTATTATATCAGAAATTACTGTCAATAACACAGGTTTTAGAGCAATGAAAGTATGTATCTGATAATTGTTCCTCATTACTCATTATGATTTAATATATACATGAAAAATTAATCACCTTTTTATAAAAAAGGTTATGCGTCAGAATGATGAAGAACATTGTCCGACGGCTTTTATTGCACGGCACCCGGAAATAGGATTGTAATCTATCAAATCAATTCAACAATCTATAAATCCGTATTCAAACTTTCTTTGAACTTGGTTTTATTTCTTTTCACTTTATTGGAAAAAAAATGAGATATTAATTTAATATATTGTTATTGTTATTATTAATTCAACACGCAGTATTTTAGATATAACAAAAGATTCACCACCATATCGAACAAGTGACTTTGACAATTCTCATATCACTTACATAAAATTCAGTACAGCTAGTAAAATTCCACCTTCACGTGATGAGGTTAGAAAATTTATTCAAATAGCAAAAGAAGCTTGGAATAAGAAACCAGATAAACAAATTGTTGTGCATTGTCACTATGGGTTTGTAATTTTTTTCACAGAGTAGAATTTTATTCTATTGGAACTGGTTTTTATTTTTTTATGATTAACATATCTATGTGTATGCATGTGTGCATGTGCTATAGGTTTAATCGAACAGGATTCATGATCTGTTCTTATTTAATCGAAGAATTACATTTAACAGTTGCAGACGCTATCAAATATTTTGAAGAAGCAAGAAAACCAACTGGTATCAGGTAAGTTTGTGTGTATATATTGTCTTTGAAGTTTTGTTAATTATCTGGCTGGCTGATTGATTGTATGTTATTATTTTAGACATCGTCATTTCAAGGATGAATTATTTCTAAGATATGAACCACCTCTTCGAATGAATCCACATGTGCAATTTAACAATATAATTAATCACAATCAGCATAATCTGAATAAATATATAATTCAACATCATAATCTTACTAAAGATATATCTTCTAATAATATATCAGCACCAATTATCTTTCCTTCCTCATCTAACAGATCATCATCAAATAGCAACAATAATAATAACGGCGAGAATGGTAATAAATTGTCTTCGCCAATTGGTAATTACAAAAATATATAGCAGGCCTATATATATATACATATTAATAAAGAAAGGTTCCATCACAAATTCAGAACAATTGATTGTGCCAATTTTATAATTTGGATTTTGTATACATTATTGGATATCATTAATTTTTTGATCATTTACTGATCTCATAAGCTTGACTGGATTAATTTTACGGTTTTTAACTGAACATTTTTTTTATTTTTACTAATTCCCTTCTGAATTTAATTAAATTCTTTTATTAGTTATATTTTTATTAGTTATTATTTTATTATGAATTTGTAAATTTATATTAATATGTACAAATAATAAATGAAGCTTATTATAGCAAATATCGTTATAATAAACATAAATAAAACCTTGAACTTTTCTCTGATTGATTTCATTCAACAATTAATAAACCCAATTCTTTATTAAGTTCAAAAATCAGAGTTGTTGTAAAATTACATTTCATGACGAATAATTTTAGTAATATTTATAGTTGTCCTTGTTATAATTTTATTTGAACAAATAATAAAAAACAAAATTTTATTATTTTTTCATTATCTCATTTTCTTTTTCTCGCCTACTCAATAATAAAATTAGAATAAGAATTGACACTAATATTTTTTTTGAAAAAAAAATATATATTAAATAAAATGATCATGATTATGATTATAATAAATAAAAAGTATTAATAATTAAATATGTGCATATAAATATTTTTTGGGGTGATTTTGTAAAATAAAAAGTCCTTTCTAAAAATAAATTAACGTAATTAAATTTAAATTTTTCTTGCAATTATGAAAAATCTATGACTTTCTACAGAAAGGTAACCTTCATTCTGAATTTTGTGATGTAAATTTATCAATTGTTCAGAATACTTTTCCACTGAAAAATCCTCAATTTGCCATGGAATAGCTCTTAAATAGTAAACAATTGCACCAACATCATAAAATTTTGTCTCTATAAAAGCCTCTTGTTTCTCAAGTATGGTGAATCCCGCCTTGACCATTTCACTACAAGCTTGTTCTAAATGCCATTCACGATAACCAAGATGTTCTGGTGCACCTAATAATTTATTTATTTCTATATTATCCCTTTCTCCAACTTGTTGTGTCACAAATATGCCATTTTGTTTAAGGAGCCTATGTACTTCATAGATAATATATGGTTCATGTCTATTAATTATCAAATCAAACCTTGCATCATTAATTGGTAATCTAACGTCATAATCGGTAATTGCTAAATGTTATTTGTATAAATAAATGAATGAATTAAATTAATTAACTGATTAAATCGATAAAAAAGAATGATAGATTCCAATCATTTGTATCATTTTGTTCCTTTGCTTTTTTATTATTAACGATTAATAATTGTAATAAATTAATATTGATTGAACTATTATTGTCATATCATAATTACCTGTAACTGTTACTCCTAAAGGTTTTAAACGTTTTCTTGCAATATCAATATTGGGAGCCCAACCTTCTGTTGCACAAGTATCTGGAGGTAAAGGACTCAAAGAAGCAAGAAATTCACCGCTACCAGTTCCCATATCTAAAAGCCCTTTATGATGTGGTAACAAACTTCTCACGGTATTTTCATAATTCCAACCTAAAGATCCGGAATTTTCTTCCATGCGACCTTTAAGATATGAAAAGTCCCAGCCTGTAAAAGGCTTTTTAAATTCTGTTGTAAGATGAAGAATTAAATTCTCATTAGAACTCTCTTCATCGTCATGTTGTGAAATTAAATCCATTTTTGTTTTCGTTGTTGCGATTGTTGCTGCGTTAGTGGGAAAAGTTCATGCAGAATAAAATGAAGAAAATTTTCTGATTGTTTTTGAAATAATAAGCATGCATATATATATGGGAAATAAAATAGTTTTATAAAGTGACGCGCTATTTATCTGCTTTTTTATGCTTATTTATAAGATACAAACTAATAAATAACAAACAAGAATTTAATATTGTTACATTTTTTTTAATAATAATTATAAAAAAGGTAAAAAACAATTTTTTCTTAAAAATGAAAGTATACACGTGATCAAGAAAAACAAAAAACATCCATTCATAAGAAAAGTAAACACACATTAATAAGTTACACGTGCATGTATGCATATTTGTACTTTCAATCATTCTTCACAAATATCATCAGAACCACCATCTAGAGTTGTCTCATGATATAGTTTCTCTTCAATAAATCCTATATAATGAAGACTTTTTATGACATATAACAAAGTTATTAACTTATTAATTACCAATCTCAATCAATCAGTCAATAAAATTATTAGCAAATTACCCCCCAAAACCTCCAATAAAATAAATATCTTGAACTTTAAATCGATAGAAATGAAATGAATGAACTTTGCCAGGAAGCCTAATAATTGCCATAATCATTTAAGAAGTTAACGAATTGATAATGTTCTTGATTATCATCACCATCATTAGCATGAAAAGAAAAGACATCCTTACCAATAACGAGCTTTTGGATGTTTCTCTAGATAACAATTTTTAACATCATTCTCCTAATTAATTTAAATATTAGAATTCCTTTTCTCCCAATAATAATAATAAATATAATTAATTAATTAATTAATTAATTAATCAATACTTGTTATATTTACCTCACTCTCGTTAACCCTTGTTATTTTACCAAATAAATTTAATCTTGGTTCAGCGAAAGGAAAAAATGATTTCTTGGAACTTAATTTACGAATCGACAGAGAAGCTCTCAGTCCATCATCAAAAGCATTGCGAACATTTAGCTTTTTTCCATACATACAGTAAATTCATGGTTTAGTATATTTGTAATTTTTCAATCATCCCTTCCCTTATTTTCATCCCTCCTTTCTTTTACCTGTACATGACTCAAAAGTAATAATGGATCTCCAGTGGATGGACAATCATCTGATAAATATTCAAGAAGTCCAATTGGATATCCTTAAAATTTTATTATTATTATTATTATTATTATTATTATTATTATTATTATTATTATTATTATTATTATTATTATTATTATTTAAGAATAAATATATACATGATAATTTCACCTTTCATATGATCTTCATTTTCGCTCATAATAGTAACAAGAGTTCCATATCCTGTTTCATTTACCAAATTTCTTGCTATTCTCGCTGCGTCCTCTTTAGTTTCTGTAATTCCTCTTGTTTCAACATTGATAATTATTTTTTCGCAACTAATTATTATTAATATCAATAACAAATTATTAATGGAAAAATATTTCATCTTTAATAGATTTATTTATTATAAGTCAACTTTCTTTTGTCACACACCAATAAAGTTTTTTTATGCGAATAAAATTAATTATCAAGTAGGTCCCTATGTAATCACTGGCAGAAATAGACAAACTTATTTTTGCAACTTGATATTATAATCATGTGATACAATCAGTTTATCATTTAATAATAAGAATATAGAATTTTTTATTTCTGCCTGATAATTCATTTATCAGATACCTCCTACACTTCCTATAGTCAATATTCTTTTTTTCACGTGCCTGAAGGGCACGTGAAGAACATATTGATATTTATATAATATCAAAAAAAATGGAGTTTCTACCAGTAGAAAAAAAATGAAGCAAACATCATTTCATACTCCAATGAAGATGTAATTTTTACGAACCAGGTATTTTGCTTCAAAATGGTGCGTGATCTATATTATCATGATGAATTTGTATGTGAAGATAAATGATTTTTTATCTTTTATTTATAATAATGTTTATTATACAGTATATAGAAGTTTTATCAATCCGAAGAGGAGGATGATATCAAAAGTAATCCCATTGTGTTCACTTTGCCTGGTTTTGTTACAATATGCCTATATAAATAATGCTTACATGTTGGTTATTATAAAGAAATAAAAATGTATTTATTTAATCGGATGATGCTTTAATAAAAATTTATTTAGATGATGTTTTAATAAAATATATTTTGTGAGTTAATTTATAATAAAACCTTTATAAAATTTAGCTAAATATTAATATTAAAGTTTACACAGAGTCCTACTATATATTTTCAAAAAGTTATATTTTGTGCAAGAAAGAATACCTTTTTCACACTAAGGAAAATATTAATATTAAGTTAGGGATGTTGTATGTGAAATTGAAACTGTGAAATCAAAATTTATAATTAAAATTTTGGGATGGAGTGTTTGGATATGAAATTCTAATTGGTTAATTTGAATTTCACGTATGTGAATTGCAAGTTCACATAGATTTCATTTTCACGCACAACAGGGATAAAGGAAACATGAGATTAACTTGATATAAGGATCATATTTTCACTGGTAAAAAAGGCACTCATAAGAAGAATGACATTTATTTATTTATAATTGTAATTATAAAATTATTTGATCCATTGATTATTAGCTTTATGCCAGCCTTCAATTGATTTATCAGGATATTCATCAAATAAGTCAGCTTCACTTGAATCAGGAACTTCAGCCCAATCAGCTTTATCTTTAACATTATACAAACCAATCTTTTGGGTTTTGGCAGTGGTGTGTCAATTGCAGATGCAAACGGATAGCACTTTGTGTGAATGTTTTTTTTTAAAAAAGTAAATTGTTTATATTATAAATGTAAGTGAGTATTTAACTACAAAATAAATAAATAAATAACTAACCCATTCAGAATATTTTGGATCATAGGCCCATAAAAATGCACACATTCTTTACAAAATGATCTTCTATTTCCACTATTTAAGCAAAATAAAATCTAAATTTATTATTATTATTATTAATATTATTGTGATTATGATTATGATTTACCATTCCTCTTGTTGTTTTTTAGGTAAAGATTTATCCTTAATTCCACGATAACTTCTACAAAAGAAAACAATATTTATTAGTTATCATAAATAATTATTCAATACATACTAATATGTCTTGACATTTTCCATTCCGTCAACTTCAAGTGTATCATTCTAAAACAAAAAAAAACCATTATAAATTTATCAAAAAAAGAAATCATGATCTAAATTAACTAATTAATTACCAATCCCATAATAT